CACCGGATTCTTCTAACTGTGGTTTATTCAGGACCTTTGAACAATCTTCTCACCCTCTCACCCAGGGCAGAGCCAGCCCACAGCTTAAATAGCCTCTGGGTAGCCAACCCCAGCAAGCCACGTGGGAAATGCAGATAGGTTCAGAAACGTGGAAGCAAGCCAGATCCTTAGCGTTAGCCATATATGGAGTTGTTCACAACTGAGAGCACTCACCATCGGGAAGGTGGAAGGCGGAAACCAGCGCCACCTTTAAGGTGTGGCATTATGCAGCTCTCTACAGTTCCTCAATGCACTTTCACTACAATGAGAAGAGCATGAGCCTTCTCCATTCTTAGTAATAGGTGCTTTAAGACAAGAAAGGAAATAAAACCAACAGCCTTTCTGTATACCAAAGGGAAGCACAGGGTAACGGTCTCATTCATAAAACAAAACATCCACCTTGGAATATAAATAACCAAGGAAGCTGAAAACACCAAAGAAAGAAACTGAGGGAAACACTGTGCTTATGAATTAGAGGAATTAATATTGGCTAGACTACCAAAAGCCCTGTACACATTCAATGCAACACCAATGAAATTACAATGACCTTCTTTATCAACACTGAAAAAAAAATCAGTCTTAAGAAATTCACATCCACCAGGCGGTGGTGGCACATGTCTGTAATCCCAGCAATCAGAAGGCAGAGGCAGGAGAATCTCTGTGAATTTGAGGCCAGCTTGATCTAGAGAGAGTATGAGTTCTATGACACCCATGACAGAGACCCTGTCTCAAAAAACAAAAAACAGACAAACAAAAAACTCAAAACAAACCAAAAATCCCAAAAAACAAAAAGAAATTCCCATCCTTGACATCCACCACCAACCTCCAACAGTAGATTTTCCATGAGACCCAGCTGAACTGCTCCGGTGTTTAACCAAAGGAATCCTAGTCAATATTTGAGAGATTATGTGTATCCCATGCAGCACTGTTCACACAAATGTGTCATGAAGCCAAGTTGGGTGCTGAAAATGTAGCGTGTGTGTGTATATACAAAATGGGACTTCTTAATTTTTAATTTTTTTAGCCATAAAGAATGAAGTCATGCCACTTTTAGGAAATGGATTAACTGGAAATAAACATACTAAGTGAAGTAAGCCAATCTCAAAGAGACTAAAATTGTGTATTTTCTTTGTCTCTTAGATTTTTGCAGATACGTAAGTCATAGTCATTCACACACACACATACACACACACACACACACACACGACATGAAAGTAGAATCACACTGTCTAGGGGAACAGAAGACGAAAGGGAAGGGGCATAAAGGGAATGAGGGAATATGGTCAATGTATAATATATACTTGTATGGAAAAAATTAAATAACAAAAAAGGAAATCTGGTAAAATTGGGAATGCAGACTGAACATTTGACTCGTAAGGCTTTCAACTCTGATTCAACAAAATAAACGCCATCCCTCTGTGACAGGGAGCTGGAGCAGTCAATTAAGGCCCCAGGAGTAAAGTAGCAGCTTGTACTTGAAAGCCATGATTGGGGCGCTAGGAGAAAATCAGTCTTACAGGCTAAGAGCCTCTGTGAGCCCCAAGTTGGGCTTCTCCAATTAGGCTACGCCACCTTCCATATGAGTAGGAAGGCTGCGGGGGGTGGGGGGAGGCGGCTTCTGCACAGGGAAGAGAACTCAGTAACAGAAAAGGACTGTGCTTGGCCTGGCTCCCTTCCCTGGTCGGCAGAGGAGAGAGACTGAGAGCAAGTGCCAGGAGATGCAACTGAACACTGTCTTGGCGAGGCAGCCTAGAATCGTAAGAAAGGGAACCTATGCAAACAATGGGGCCGACTTTCCAAATGTTTTGATAACCAGGTAAGCAGAGGACCAAGAAGCCAGTCAGTTCTGGTGTGAGGATGGCAGCCCTCAGCTCAGTTCAGGACACTGTTGACAAGGGAGCATTAGACTGTGGCTCACCAATCTGGTCTTTCCAGGGAGATGAGCTACTTCCTTCTCTCTTTTCTGTCCACTGTCTTCTCTCCTCTCCTCACTTGGCTTTTTGGATGAAAGGGTTTTCTATGTGATCCTGGCTGGCCTGGAACACTAGGCTGGCCTCATTTGCCATCATCTTCCTCACTCCACCCCCTTTGTGCTAATAGACTAGGCTATCTTGCTATAACTCTAATATTTGTGTCTTATATTTACCTTTGTTCTAGACATAAAGGGGAAAACGCTGATCTGATTCTTTATCACCACTAGCCAATCTCCAAAATCCCCTCGATAATCCTTTAACAGGCCAATGTAGTTTTCAGGTGACATTTCAAAGTATTATTTATATAAAAGCTCCAGCCTACATTTCAGGCCATTGTGTGAAGGGAACAGGAGAACCTGGCGTCTGGGCCACCAGTCTCATTGTGAAAGATGAGGCATTTAGATCATCCATCTCACTGTAGACAAGAATGAGAGATAAAAAGCCTGGGGTAGGTTGGGAGGGGCAGGGATGATAAAACTTGGGGATGATGGAGCAAGCACATCACTCTCCAGCAGACTCAGCAATCCATGGCACACGCCTTCTGTTTTGTCCACGGAGCATTATGACAGCCACGCCCACTCGCTTACATGGCTGTGGCTGCTCTGTACTCCACAATGACTCAGTTGAGTGGCGTCCATGAGGACTGAAATGGTGTCTAGCCTGCTCCTCACAGAAAAATGCTCACGTACAGTCTATGACGAGAAAGGTAACTCAGCCAGATGAAGGGAGAGGACGGGCAGAAAGGATCAAGGAGTGTGTTCAGAGCTGGACTCTCTGAGGGGGAGGGAAGGGCAGAAGGAGCTGGGGATCGGGGACACTGTTTTATCTCATGGGGTCCTTCCTCGTGGGAAGTGGGATGGCAAAACTTGATTGTCCACTTGACTACATGTGGACTTAACTAAAACCCAACTGGCTGGACACACCAGTGAGGGATTTTCTTTCTTAAATCATTTGGGGACTGGAGAGATGGCTCAGTGGGTAAGAGCACTGGCTATTCTTGCAGAAGACCTGAGTTTAAATCCCAGCACCCCATGGCGTCTCACAACCATCTGCAACTCCAGTTCCTGAAGCGCCAACACTTTCCGACTTGATTGGGCCACATGGCACATGTATATATATAAGCAGGCAAAACACACATACACATAAAATAAATCTAAACAATTTTTTTAAGCAGTTGAATTAAATAATTTGAAGTGGGAAGACCTACTTCTAATACGGATCTCTGAGGTGGAAAGATCATTTTTAATCTGGACCACACTTTTGCTGGCAGCCTATAAAAAGGACACAGAAAACGGAAGCTCTCTTCTCTTTGCCTGCTTGCTCTCACTCTGGTTAGCAAATCTATTCCTTCACTGACATTAGATCCTACTGCTTTGGGATTCCAGTATATACCAAAGAGCAGCTGGGATATCCATCCTCATGGGCTGAACAACTATTGGATTCTTGGATCTTCCATTTGTAGACAGTCATTGTTGGACTAGATGGACCTCAGCTTGTAAGCCATTCTAATCAATCTAAAATATATATGTATGTATGTGTCCTTCTGTAAGTTGTTCCTCTAGAGAGCCCCGACTAATACAGCCACTGTCCACACGGCGCTACTCACATCCACTCCCTAAGTTTCTATAAAGCGATATAGAGTCGACCAAGTTCCAGTCTTTAGGAACTGGCTGCACATCGAACAATGAAAACACAGAACTGGTAATCAAAAATGTTTTAATGATTAATGTTTAGACATTATTAACAGTGTGGGTATATCCAGATGAGCTAAGCACACTTTGACAGCATACTATTGAATGTTACAGTCTTTGTTCTGAAATACGTAAAGACACCTGCAAACTGGTACCTAGGATGAAGATACACACAAATATACACATTCCAAATTTGATAAATGTAAACAGACGCCGCAACTCCTTCCAAACAGAAAACCCACGAGACTAATTAGGACCCATCGGCTCCTTATAATATGAATGTGCAAAATTAAAGCATGGTAAACTGATATTTACATAAATATCAAACCCACAATTAGTTTATACATTGTCAATCATCTGCTAAGATGTGTCGTGAGTGGTTCAATGAATTTTTTTTTCAATGCAGAAGGTATTCAAAGGCTAAACTTTCAACACTTTAAAAAAATGACACATAAGAGTCGCCATCTGTATGGCCACTGCCTCAGGTGCACGAGACACGACTTTAAGATAAGCAGTCTGTTACTTTTAAACAAGCGCTTTAGACCAATCTTTAGATGCTAAGCAGAAAAAAAAAAATATAGACGCTGCCAAGCTTTACACTGAATAAGCAAGTACTCCCCAGATGCTCGCTTCCTTCATGTTCTAGCTATGTCTTTCATTTTACCTCAAAATACTTAAGGTGCTTCCTGGTCTCGTGGTGAATTAGGCACATTTAAAAAGTATATGTCAAGATAGCATTACAGAAAAACAATACAAAATTTGGACCCAGGTAACCAGTTCCCCATCATCGGTCCATGTGACTGTCACGTAGTGAATATCTAGTCACCTTCCTGAAAGGTACTTGTCCTCTTTTCATATGGCGGGAAGTAGAATGGACTTTCTGTCTCCTGCATATAAACACTCAGTACTTCAGAAGTGTAAAGTGGCCTGCTCACCCTCCTATAGTCACTCTAGACTCGGGGCGGGGGTGGGGGGTGGCGAACCAAGAAGAGATACGTAAGTGTCTCAAAACAGCTTTGGACCCTCTCCCCACCTCTTTAGACACACTAGTAGTGGCACTCAAAATAAAAAAATAAGATCTGTTAAAAAGTTAAACTGACTGTCCCACTAGACTTGGGCCTGTTGATGAAAGCCAGCATTATAAAACCGAAGGTGCTGTCAGATTCTGCATCTCCAGGACACTTGAGTCACACACCGTACTCTAGTTTCAGAAATCATGTATTTGATTTTTTTTTTCTAAACAGAGCTATTACAAATGAATACAAAGTTGAAACATACCCTAATTAAACTACTAAGCTTTGGGCCCTGCTTTTTTTTTTTTTTTTTGTCTTAAGGCATGTGTGTTTTTCTACTGTTAACAACATCGTACAAATTTACATTCACAATCACATGCATGGTCTACACTTAAAAAAAAAAAGTTTGGATTACAGTGTTTTAAATTGTGAACCACAATTCAGCACCTATCGTGTTAGAACTAATAAGGCAACAGCAGTGTCGTATACTACAATAACACTCCCTTTCCACAGTCTAGCGCAGGGTCGAGGAGAGCCCAGAAAGGTGAGAGGTTGTTTGCCTACTTGTATAATCTGTATACATATTCTAGGGGCTTTGAACTGATGAGAAAGGTCCTACATAAATCACACTACAGTCGGCCGGACTACTGACAGCAGCTGTTACGAGCGTCAGGGCACAACTCATACTGTGCTTACAATCACACGCCGTGGTCTGGAGGGTTCGGCTCCGCCGTGTCAATCCTTCCTCTGCTTCCTCTGCTTCGCGCTGCCTTCCAGGGAAGTGAAGCTGTTGCTGTGTCCGTTGACGGCAGCCATGGACCCGTTCTGGTGGCCCTTCAGGTGCTCTTTCGTCCGAGAGGCCCCTTTCTTGCTGTAAGTCTGAAATGGACAAGGCAGGTGAGTGCCTGCTAACCAGGAGAACTGTACCAGGCTGCACCTAATGAGGCCTGCTTTCCTTATTTGATAAATCTTATCAAGTAATTCCTATGCTCAAATAACGAATTTCTACTGCAATCACACTTCCATGTTTTGGTTTTTGAGGCTTAGCTTATAGATTCTCTGACTCCTAGGCCACTAGGCCACAACAGAAACATTTATAGCAATACAGAACTAATGTCCACTCTGCTTTGCCTCTTCAGGATCTAGATGGTGGAGCGATGGCTGTGACAAAATTGGCCTCTCCCATTGGATAGTAGCTCCTCTAACACACAAGCCATTGCTTGCCATTCATTTTTTTTTCTTATTGCCCCAGCTCCTACCTCAGTTCTCTTGTACTGAGTACTATGCTGCTAGAAACAACTGGAAAAGGGTCCCATAGTCAGGGCCCAGCAAACCAGGAGTCACCAAGTCACAGGCACAGAAGAGAAACAGTGGCTGAGCCTCCACAGGGCTGTTCCACACTACTGGCCTCTCCTCAGTACCCATTTCCTTTGCCCTTCTTCCTGACCTCCTGTCCTGGCCAGTGGGGACTGAAGCCACTTGGCACTGGTCACAAAAGCAAGAGAATCACCAGTGAGTGCCAGGTGGTCAGGTGCCCCAGAGACAGTCTGTGAACACAAACCTCTCCCACATCCTGTGACCAAACTCAAGCCCCAAACTTAAGCAGTGGGCATGTAGGAAGAGTGGGACAAAGCGGTAGGTTTCCGTTCTATCAGGGGTCTTTGATGGAAATGTCACTTAGCTCTAATAAGCTGAGATTTCTGACTAAAAAATCACCTCTTTATGTCTCTGCACTAGGTCAGAGGGCAGGAAAAAAAGCACCCTGCTAAACGTGGCATTTCCCACCTGAGTCCCAAAATGCCCAAGTCTCAGCAACGAGAGCAGAATGGGCAGTTCCTCTATCCCTACAAAGAATGCAGCAGAGCACAGGGCCAGCACCCAGCGGTGGCTCCACACAGCCCCACTGAGAGAAAGGCTGAAGGTCAGGGGTCAGCTCAGGGTGAGATTTACCTGAATATAGAAGTTTGTGAAGAGCGTGATCAGGGAGATCATGTACCCGATCTGGAAATACAGCCACCCGAGGGGGAAGCTACACCGCCAGAGGAGTCCGCAGCTCGTCTGAATGATTGTCAGCACAAACTGGACCTGGAGGAGCAAGGCCAGCGCTGAGCAGTAGCAGAGAACACACGGGGTTCCAGCCAGGGGACTGGGATCAGAGCGCCCAGCCAAGTTTTGGAATCAGCATTGGCCAGCCTTCTCTAACACCTTTGATCCTAACCTTGGTATGTCTGTGTCTTTTCTAAGTCCCCCCTCTCTCCTCAAAGCGATTAAACCACCTTTCTCCAAAATTCTGGGACTCAGCTAGAAGAGATACCAGAGAGAGGAGTGAGCAGTGTATTTTAAGGGTCAGTGATTGTATGTGTCACACGTGATCTGACACTTCCTACTCTGTATGTGTTCTCTCTGACATGGTGAAAGCTGTCATGAACATGAAAACTCTTCTTGGCCACAATGCTAGTTCTATAGAAGACTTCTAATGGGCAACCTTGAAAGAACAGGGGGACCCACACAGAGACGCTGCAAAGGTGTTAAAGGCACGTGACTACTAAAGCGCCCCCAGGAGGAACAACAGGAACGAGGCCAGCCCAGGGATATCTCAGAAATCCTACCAGCTCTGTTTGCCTCTATTTCTTCAGCCTAGTCCTCTGAGGTAAACCTGAGCTAGGCAGACACAGAGCCCAGCAGGATGTCAATGCCCCAAGGTGTTCTTCCACATTCTGCCAGAGCTGGGACTGCGGCATAGATCCATCTCTGCATCCTTCCTTCTCTGCTACCAGGAGGCCAGAGAACAATTACCCTTCCTCACAGGTGAGAAAAAGATTAACAAGGACCTCGGAGCAGCTGGCAGAGGTGATAATGAGACACCAATCGCAGAAGGGGCTCAAGCTTCTCAGATTGCTAGTTTTAAATTTTGAAAAATCAAGATTGATTCAGGAGGATCTAAATTAGATTCATTTGGAACACAGGGATGTGGCAAGCCTGGGCTGGGGAGCTCCGTTCCTGTCCCTGCAGCCAGCTTTAGCCTCCTGCCTCAATGTGTTCACCTACAAAAGGGAGAAACCATTTACTTCGCAGGAGTGCTTGACATCCAGAACAAAACACGCCTGTATGGAGACATAGTAATATTACTCATTAGCTCAGGAAGCTTTCACGAGGGCGAAGGACGGTGTACCTATGATATACTGACAACTAGCCACGGCTGAGCAAAGAATGGTGAAAAGAATCATAAAGACCAGACCGTTACTGGCCTGCTTCTGCCAGGGCCCATCATGCAGGGTGCTTCGTTACACGGGGCCAGAGTCATCACCTTGTACCTAAGCCAATAGGCTCACTGTCTAGGAAGCTGCAAGGGCTCTGATCTCAGTACCTTAGAAGGGCTCCCTGAAATTCCCGGCAACACGGATAAGCAGGTCTCATCTTCATTTTGGAAATGAGAGCATACACAGGTACACGAGTGCACACTATGTGTGCTTACACACACGAGTAAAAACTAAGACTGACCTGAAGGTGGGAGCTCAAGACTCGAGGCATCCCCAATCCAGAGCAGTCTCCCTATCCGTTAAAAACAAGAGCATCCCCTAATCTGCCTATGTCAAGCTGAACCACATCAACTGGATTCAATTAAACAACAGCATGGCCTGGTAGAGGACTGTGTCCAGCAGGGAGCCAGCTCTGGGCGCAGGGACAAAGTTACTCACCAGCTGCCCCTGAGTGATGTATTTTTTCCACCAGAGGTAGGGACGTAAGGAAGGAACAGAGGACAAACCGTAGTACGAGTACATGAGGACGTGGATGAAGGTGTTGAGTGTCGCACCGAAATAAGCTGCAAGGGCAAAGGGGGCATGCATTAGAGGTTTGTAAGAGGTGGGGGAAATCCAAGACACTTTTGGAGGCAGAGACCTTCCTCTCGACAGAGGACAACAAACACCACAGCAATATGGACTAGACGGACGTGTAATAAAAAAATCACTTTCCACTTGGGTGGGCAGGGCAGGTGGCCACCAGGACACCTTAATCCCAGTGGCCAATTGACCCTCCCATGACTACTTGTGCCCCAGACCTGGCACCTGCATGTGTGGTTGGCACACCAGGAGGCAGATTCTCCTCCCAGATGCCTACGATGTACCATTCTGAAGACCAGGCGAGGATAAGCAATGGACAGAATGCTCTAGAAAGGCTGTTTCCACTCCTTTGCTGAGGTCTGGAGGAAACTTTTGAAGTTATGATTACTCCCCAGGACTATAGTTATGGTTTTATTAATACAGAATCTACAGCCAGTTCCTTCAAGATAAAAGACCCATGTTATCATATGACTTCCAATTTCCAGTGCAATATCATTTTTTTTATACTTTCATCATCAACAGTAAATAATGAACCAAAGCTCCCTGCTCCTTTCAGACGCACGGGGTTATGTTAGTAGGAGTTTCTACCGGCTGTGACAGAAACAGGTCCTATATAGCCTTGCATAGGTCATGTATACACTCTAGTTTTCAACGGGCCAGGTGGGGCTAGCTGTCCTGAGATACCTTGAAATGTAAAATATTCTTTCAAATGTAATCAGTGGAGCGCTGTCCCTAGCAGACTTCGGGATAGCTTATCCGCAGGTGATGAGGGAGAAACACTAGCTCAGGAGTGTTTGAGCTCAGCCCTTCCTTCTAGGCCTCACTCTTCTCCCAAGTCCAAAGGTTCTGTGCCCTTAGGCCACATAAACTCATTGACAGCAACCCAGGTCCCCTTTGCAAAGTCCTTGCCTATTTCTGTATCTTGAAGCCATGGTTTCCTCAGACAGTTCAGAACTTCCGGTTTTACTTTAAAGCCTTTGACCCATTTAGGATTGATTTTTGTGCGGAGCAAGAGATCTGTGTGTCCTGTTCCACTGATTTACACATGGATTTCTGGTTTTTCCAGAACCATCTTTTGAAGAGGCTTGTCTTTTAATTATTTCAATTTTAAATTAGCATACAAAGTAACGGGCTTCATCGTGGAATCTTCATACATTTCTGTCAATGTGCTCCGTTCTCGTTTGTTCCCTTCCCCAGTGGTGTCTCTCCCCCTCCCTACAAGCTCTCTTCCTCCTCTCTTGTGATCCTTTTTCTACTTTTGTGACCTACACATAAACATACATATACATTTTTTATTTAGGTTCACATATGATATACAACATGCGGTAACTGAGTACGGTTCATTCCATTTTGATGTGAGATAATCTTTTTCTACACTCTGAAGATGTGTCTCGACCAAGGCACCTTCTGAGGGGTCTAATAAGGAGTTGAATGGCCAGCAGCTAGGTTGGAGAGGATAGGCGGAACCCCCCAGGCAGAGGCAGGAACTCTGGGAAGGAATCAGCAAGGCAGAGATTTTCCAGGCAGACACTGAGTGAGCGAGACGCACCATGCACCATACTGAGCAGAGGTAACGATCCACGTGGCAGAACATAGATGAATAGAAACGGGTTAAGTTTTAAGAGCTAGTTGGGAACAAGTCGAAGCTAAGGCAAGTCATTCATATTTAACAGCAAGTCTCTGGGTCACCATTTGGGAGCTGGCGGTCTAAAGAAAGCCCGGCTACATCTGGTCGCCTCCATTTTCCTACAAACGCCACGGTTTATACCTGTCTAAAATTCCACTGTGCACCGTATATTTTCATCTGTGTTGGTCACGCAGGCTCCATTTGTTGGCTATAGTGAAGAGAGCAGCAATAACCCTGGATGTGCTTGCATCTCTGTGGCACACTGACTCGAGTCCTTGGCTACTTACCCAAGAGCAGTACAGCAGGATCGTACGGCTGTTTTAGATTCAGTTTTTGAGGACTCTCTATAATGATTTCCATATCAGTTCTATGAATATCAGTACCACCGGAAGTGTATAACAGTTCCTCTTTGCCCACATCCTTACCAGCATTTTGCCTCTACTGGTACTGAGCCTAGGACCTTGGTGATACTGGTCAAGAGCTCCTCACTGAGCTACACTCCCCAGTTGTTTGTTTTCTTGATAATTATTCTGACCAGAGCAAGACAGGCTCTCAAAGCAGTTTCAAGTTGCATTTTCCTGATAGCTAAAGGACACTGAGTGCTTTTAAAAAGTATTTATCAGACATTTGTGTTTCCTTTAATGAACGGTGTGTTGAATTCAATAGTCCATTTACTAATGAATGATTTGTGGGGTTTTGGGTTTGTCTTTTCAAAAAACAATGATGGTTTCTGCTGACACCTTTGTCAAAGTTTATGTGGTAGCTGTGTGTTTTCTGGTCTTCTAGTCTGCTCTTTTAGTCAATATGTCCCCCTTTGTGTCAGTACTAAACCGCGCGTGTTACTATGGCTCTGTGGTATAATTTGGGACTGGACCTTGTGATACCTTTAACACTGCTCTTTCTGCTTAGGATTACTATGTCTACTGTATGTTACAACAAAGTAGGAAGGAGGAGACCAAGAAGGGTTAAAGGGAACATGAGAGGGTAGTGGGAGGAGGGACAAATGAGAAAAAGTATAATGATTTGAAAATGTCACAATGAAATCCTTTACGGTGCATGCTAACTAAAAAAAAAAAATAATAAAAATAATAAATAGAAAAAGAAAAAAGCCTGAACACAAATTCAAAATCTTAACCTGGAAATCTGCATAGCCAACATCCTCCCTGAGTGCCTAGGCTTCCAGTCTGTCTCTGTCCTATGTCCCCAAACACGCTAGTACTTACAATGGCCGCAGGGAACCCAGTTCATCACAAACCACCAGATGTTGAACATGGTGGCGTGATGGTAGACATGAAGGACTGTTATCTGGTGGTTGTTCTTGCGGAGGATGAAGAAGAAGGTGTCCATGAACTCTATGAGTTTGGAGAAGTAATACCACCACAGGACACGGATGACCTAAAAGCAAAGGGTTTATGGCTTATGTCTCCAGTGCTTCTCTGGAATGTCACCTGTGACATGTCGTACACACGTATACCCAACACAGAAATAAAGCTAGAGAGTCCACTGGCTGCTGGTGCCTTCCAGAGGCGGGGCTCCAGCCACTGTTGGGCGCCTTTAATGGATGAACATGCGATACTGGGAACCCTGAAACAGCAGCAGGGAATGCCTTCCAAGGGCTCCAGAACTCTGGCACACTCTTAACAAGAACAGGAAGGTGCACACCTGCAATCCCAGGACTTGGAGGCAGAAACCAGAGAATTGAGAGATCAGGACCATCTTTAGCTACATAGAATTTGAAGCTATAAGACCCTATCTCAAAGTGAAACTAAATCCAAACAAAAGCACCAACCAGTATGTCCAGAGGTAGCGTTGGCCATGCTGAACTTGGACTGCCAGCTTAAAACTCCAGTTCTCAGAGTGGAAGTTGGATTTTATTTTTACTATCACAACCCAGAGGGCTTATTATATATTATTATATTTTAAAGTCACTTACAAGAGTGACTTTAAATCTGAACGATCTCTTTCATGTATGCACGAAACCTGATAAATACAATCTTCCCTTGTCAACTGCTCACAAGAGCTTCTTCTTCAGAGAGGGAGGCCTAAGTTCTTCATTCTGTTTATGCCTTTTCTGTTCAGATCTTCATATCACACACCCAGCACTTCTTTCCCTTTTCAAAACGTCAACAGAAATGATCACGATCAAGAGACTATGGTCTTCTTCATCTTTTGTCTAAGTTCTTTATTGAAAAACCAAAAACACCCAGACACACCCACCCACCCCCACCCCTGAAACAGTACCTTCATGTCTGCCTCTCCTGCCGAGTGTGTTCCCTGACAGAAGAAGTTGTATTTGCCTTCCCACACACCTGTCACCAGCTGAAACAGAGAAGAACAAGTCTTTACTGTATGAGGGCCCTGTTCAATTTCATCCATTTGTGAAAAGTTACTTGTGGCTACACTGTGGCGAGTTCGCTCAAAGTAAAATAGTCATTCTAACGCTGCGCCTTCCTTAACACGCTGCGCCTTCCTTCACACACGGAGGTTGAAGCAGGAGCGTGAAGTCACTCCCAGGCTGCTGCCTTCACAGACTCCCTCCACCTGGTGCCTCAGCCAGCACAGACCAGTCCAAGATGTCATCCTGTCTCCTTATGCACTTTCCCGAAACCTGGACTCTCCAAACCTGAGTGCACTCCGATGGCAGTGTGCCAGTCACCGGCTATTCAGGGAATGGGGGCACAGCAATTTGGAGTTCTAACGAGTCCATAAATTGCCAGTACCAAGACCACTGGACTGGAACTACACCTTAAACACTAGGAGCAATGTAGTACATTCTCCTTATTCCTTGGCACTTTCTGTTCTGTTGCTGGGTCATCTTCTGTACTCACAGGTCAGCCATCTGCAGACAGCTGTGGCAGCACAAAAGGACCCCGCAACTGGGGTGCAAGCTTTGGCTGGTCCTGCAGTTTTCACTGGCTCCCTTATAGAGCCTGTTTCCTCATCAGCACAATGAGTGAGTAGCCTATGATGAGACCTTAAGATCCACTCGAGTGGTTGGCATAAAAAGTGTATTTTAATTACTCTATTTCCACGCTGCCCACCTGCTATGTTCCTAACACCCATGGGATGCCATTTGTCTATGAAAACCACAACTCCAAGTTTGTTTACTTTCTTCTACAGTCTAGAACAATCTTGAGTGTTCCTGATGATCACAGAATGCCAGGTGCTGAGACGGCACACTTTAGGCCTCATCTCAAGCAAGCTTGAAACACACAAGGACCCAGTCACCTGCTAAGTGTGTACCTCCATCCAGCGCCACCAGCAGCACCCAGGACCCTTGAGGGATGCACTCTGGAACTACCCCACACCTTCAGAATTTAAAACCTAGATCACCGGGTCATAAATTCTTGAGACTCTAATGATGTTGCTTCAAAGTACTGTCCCCCAGCAGCAGAGCTGAAACCAAACAGGAACCTTTAACAATCTTGGGCCCTATCCTAGATTTCCTGACTCTGAAATGTATGAGCAGAAAGCCCGATGTGGGGTATGTGTGTAGGAAGAGAGGCAGGGTCATAGGTTGAAGTAATGATCCTCCTGCCTCCACCTTTTGAGTGCTGTGATTTTACAAGCTGGCCAGTGTTTGAATAGGTGATTCCGACCACATGAAATTTGGAACAACTATGGGTGCCATTGAGGCTGCATAGCATGATCACCCTGGGAGCTTTTAAAGAATTATTAATCCCTGGTCTCACCCTGACCATGAAACAGAACCTCAAGGGGCCTCTCATAAAGTTCTCAAGAGAATTCACTGTGCAGTTGAGACTGTAAGCTGGTGGTCTTGGGCTACTGATCTCAGTGAGAGAGCATTGGAGGGAAGGAGTAACTGAGAGCCAGGATCTAGGAGGCTCAAGGCTCACTGCCCTGGAGACAACTGCTCAGCCTGGTGAACATACAGATGCCTACCGCGAGCAGCATGCTTGGATAAGGCTAGGAAGACACACGGCCATATTTCCATCCTATTGGACATGAGAAATAAATGTCAAGCGTGGTACGCTCGCACGGGTGCCGAGTCTAATGTCTGATGTTTAACTTCCCTTCTGCTGTTTTCCGTTCTGTAACCTTCTCCACATGAAAACAGTCAGAGTTTACAGGCCAAAGAACAGCATAGGACTCTGAATAGCGTCACACAGAGAGCGAGCGCTGTGGGCTGGGAAGGTCGGACAGGGAGGACTGTGGTTTTCACTGCCCGAGTGAGGGTGGACGAAATTCTCTCTAGAGGTTTTCTGTCCAAGTTTTCAATAATTTCTATGCTAGACTTCGTAACAGACCACACCCAACACTATTTTCTCCAGACCAGCACCATGAGGTAGCATCCTAGGTGTGAATGTATTTTTGATCTTATGTCCTCTTTCAAGGCCAGTTAAGTCTATCACTCACAGCCCTTTTAGAACTTCGAAGACTCAAGATACAAAACGGGGGTGAACAGGGGAGCCAGAAAGCAGGGTGAGGAGGTGGGTGTGGTGTCTGTAGAGACCCAGCTGGAGAGAGGGCCATGTCATCAGAGGGCTCTGCTCACTGCTCCACCTTCTATCCCACGACAGAAACATTAAGTATCTGAGACACGAAAAGGGAGTGCTCCTTGTCAAAACAACGTCACAGGTAATGAAGTCAAGTTGCCATGAAGATAAATGTGTACAATAAAAAATTGGCTAAAATGATTATCTTCATTTGCTATATCTTTTGAAATTTTACCATATTAAAAGCATCACATTTAGCAGGGTGTGGTGGCACACACTTTAAATCTCCCCTGGGAGACAGAGGCAGGCAGATCTCGTTGAGTTTGAGGCCAGCCTGGTCTATATAAGAAGTTCCACATCAGACAAGGTAAATAGTAGAGCTATCTTAAAAAAACAAACAAACAAACAAAAAAACCAGAACAACAAAAAAGTCAGATTCTAGACCCTCCCATCACTTTTCCCCAGCATTGGAACCCTGGGCTGGCTGACCATGAAAAAGACACTTACTCAGGTACCGAGGGCTGCAATCTAACTCTCTGCAGGGTGGGGTTGCTCTGTAGGAAAAAGGGTAAATGCCTACCTACCCCTTAAATTCTGCAGGTGCCTCTTAGCAAGAAAGGCTCCTCTTGTCATGGACCTTGTTTTCATTTTTCTTTCTAAAGAAATCCAGGTGGAACTTCCTTCTGTAAGCAACGGAACTGAAAATCCTACTTGCCCTTCCCTAAGGCCTGGGATAAAAGAGGAAAATCTCGACATAAAGCGCCTTTGGAGGAGAAAGAAGTCCTCCAGTGTGGACACTGGGTGGGAAGCTCTGTGAGCTTCAGTCAGCTATATCCAGCAGAAGTGGCTCACGTGGTGACCATGCTCTTGGCCTGAGGCTACCACTCCCCCATCTCTCCAGGTTCTGTGGAAGCTGCCCTGGCTGCAGCATTCCCTCCACAGAGACTGCCATGATGCTGTATGTCGGTAGACGCGGTGGAGCAAGAGAACCCAAGAGAAAGGACACGGAGACGCTGCAAGGATTGCCATCGACCTTGAGCTTCTGAGACTCAGCTGCTGAAGGACTGCTCCTGAGTGACAAAGCAGACCACAATGGCCACTATCTGCACACTCCCTGCACCACTGACTGCTCCAAGGACAACAAAGAGAGGATTACTTATGTGGCTTTCCCTAAGTAGCCAAGATAAAGCCATGTGTGCTTTCTATTAATTAGGCCAGGCGCATGTGAAGAGCTGTAATTAACACACAGCCAGCAGCTTCCTTCTCTCCTAGGAGACAAATTCAATAGACAATGGGGGTTTTATGCACCTTTTCACCTGAAGAAAAATGTAGGTGAGCCTCAGTCACAGCGAGGTCCGGGTGAGGTAACCAGGGAGCAGACCTTTAATGGCGAGGTCTGCCTTCTAACCACAGATGAAGCATAACCTTGGCACAGTTACTTCCTGGAACGCTACCAGAGCCTTTGAGGAAACAAGGTCATTTGACGAACTTGTGTCTAATTGGAAAAGCTCTTTCCTCCCGGCTCTACCACCCCGTTATCCCAGCGCCTCAAGATGTTCAGAAGGGCGGTCTAGTTTGGGAAGTTAAAGGTGGCTGAGTTATGTGGAGATTATTCCCTGAGCAGAGACAAGGGAAAGGCGATGCAAACCGACTCTCAGAACTTGAACACAATGTCACAGCCCGAGGACTGTTCCTAGGAGCCACTAAGACGTTTCACACATTTGTTTGCTGGGATGTGTGTGCTTCTGTATCTGGCAAAAGTGAGCGTTTTAAGGGAGGAAACAGACACAGAAATGACATGGGGACCTCACACGGCAGTTCTAGGCCCCTCTGTCTTCTGGCCTGTTTCTGGGTTCCTGACTAGTCTCTCCATGGAGGATGCTAGGGGTAAATTAGACCTTTACCTGTATCCACCCCTCCTTGGCAGAAATCTGGTTTATAACCAACCAGAAGCCATTCTGAATTCAAAGGTACTCATTTCCCCCACAGCACAGCAGGTCACTTAGGGTGGTATTATGAATGGAGGCACAATGGTAGGTGGCTTTCAATCGGAGATCTCATGTCCAGAGCATGAGGAAGCCTGTGAAGAAACTTCCACACCCACGCCCTTCAGAAATGTTTTTCCTTCTTATGACCACGGACACAGCTGAAGGCACCTCCCCTGTTTACACATAAGGACCATTCGGGCACACTTGACAAATCTTGAGTACAGAGCAAACAGGCTAACCCGACGCGGGTATGCCTGGCACTCCTAAAGTGCCAGCCCCCGCCCTCTTACGCTGTAGCCCCCCCCCCCTTTTTAAACAGTTCATACAGTAAAAAGGGACAGGAATAAGGAGACAGAACATTAAATGAGGAAACTGGTATAGAGATTTTGGGTAGGTACCACGTGAGTCTGATACGACTCTAGCCAAATGTGTGCTATTTCTGCTTCCGGAACTTGGGAATCTATAGCGTCCTCTGCATAGGTTAAAACTCTCCAGCCAATCTACTTCAGTCTTGCTTTGCAAAGCCCAGCTTTAATCAAGGGCTTATAAGGTAGGGTGTGATGGTACACCTTTAATCCCAGCACTTGGGAGGCAGAGGCAGGAGGATCTCTGTTATAGGCCAGCCAAGTCTACAAAGAGAGACCCTATCAAGAAAGAAAGAAAGAAAGAAAGAAAGAAAGAAAGAAAGAAAGAAAGAAAGAAAGAAAGAAAGAAAGAAAGAAGGGAGGGAAGGAGGGAGGGAGGGAGGAAGGGAAGGAGCAAGGGAGGGAGGGAAGGAAGGAAAAAGGATAGGAGGGTGGGTTAGGTCTGAGGAGTCTGCAGAATCAGGTCCCAGGCTTCCTCTCTGGCAAAGGCATTCCCTCCCTCCCTCCTGGGTGAGGAAAGAGGTGTCTGGACTGCAGTCCCCCTCCTCTCTCTACAATGTGCAGTCCTCTCAGGAGAGCTTTAGATACACTAAAGAGCAAGTACTAGCTCCGTATAATCCCTCAGGAGAGTGTTTCCGAACAAGGAACTTCAGCTGTAAGCGAACAAAATGTCACCAATTTTGTGCAACGATCAGCCATGTCCAACCTACAATTGTGCACCCCAGGGACAGCTACGAACAGACCCCAACCTAAAACCACAAATGTAGTGACAACATTAGGCTGTTTTGCACTGCGGAGAGGAGGTGTTAATGATCTCATGGCATGAACTTTGTAGATGGCAAAGTCGTCACAATGTCAAAAGGCTGGGCACATCTAGCAGAGCTTTCTTATAAATACTGGTCTCTCCAGCTGAGTCAACTTCTCTACCTCCTCTAAGAAGGCAGAGAGCAAAAACTCTTTTCACAGTATTCTGGGAAACAAAATACTTTCTCCAATCCTGTTTCCCACAACAACGCTATCTATTTTAGGAAAGCCTGAACCAAAAGAACAGGAAGACAGTTCAGAATATACTTCTAAAGTAACTGCTCTCCGGCCACATCAGAGCCCCAATCAAGGCAGAACTCAGAGGTGCAGAGGGAGGAGCTCACGGCTCCCAATTACAGAGGAGAGAAGGTTGCAGCGCCCCAACACACTGCATCCATCTTTCCAACAAAGACCATGATTTTCAAAGCATGGTTCAAAAAAAAGGCAGTATGAGCTCCTGGCCAGCTGATCCAAGACAGAAGCCACACAGGTTGGACATACACCTACACAACGCGCACCCAACTCTACCAATGTCACCAACCAGGAAGGTTAAGCTTTTTTGTGTGCCCTACACCCTAGCTGTATTTTGTATTTTTCCATAATCTTTCAGACACTTGGGGGAAGACACTCATCTCACACAACCCCAGCAATGCTAATATGGGATGCTTATCTGGGACATTCAACCAACATTTTTGTTTCAAAGTTTAAAAAAAACAAACAAACATAGGTTAAATCATAACTTCAGAAGCATGACCTCGGAGATGTAGCTAGAGGAGACTTGTCCTGTTTTGAGACAGGGCTCCATGTGCCTCGGGCTTGCCTCAGACCCATATGTGTGGAAGCCCAGCCCTGGCGGGGAAATAAAGAATAAGTCTGGATGTTGTGTTAAACCAGACCTGCCTGTCTTCTCAGGAATAATTTTTTTTTACACCAAAGTTTAAATGTTCTGATGTTGGAAAGATAATTTGAGCACATTTTTCACCAACATACAGTTCTACATACAACTGCTAGAGAAAAAGACATACTCAAAAAGTAATCGTTTGTAACCTGTAATTTATATCTGATTATTAAATAGTGTAACAATGTGGTTCTGGAATTTGGCTTTTCCGTGTTGCTATACAAGGACAGCTTCTGTGGCACAAACATGCAAAATGAGCAAGGGAACGAAGTAGGAACCTGTTCATTACAGGTGTCTGTGAGTCTGGGCTGGGATGGAATGAGATGTTGATGGGCGTACCATGAAAGCACTTCAATTGGGGACAGAGATACTGAAGAGGCTGGGGGGCAGGGAGGAAGAATCAAGGGGTTGGGGCTGATGCTGGGGGTGGGGGTTTAGGCAGAGCTGAACAGGGCAGCCTGAGCCCAGAGTGTATCTTCCCGAAGAGAAGCAGCCCTGGGGTGACCAAAGGCAAAGGCACTGTACATCTGTGACCCTGCCTCCCTGAGAGCGGCCGCCGAGTCCAGGATCAGTGTGTGAAGCACAGGCTAAGCAAGATGAACGAGCCCTTTTAGACTCCATCAAACCACACAATTAGATTCTCTCAGTGCAGGGCAGTGGAGGTCAGAAGCATGATGGGAAAAGAGCAGACACATCAAAACAGCTTCACATTAGAACAGAGTGGCAGCCTGAGAGAGACACCTCGCGCAACACTGTAACAAAGGAGCAGAAGTCGCTTTGATAGCTTGCTGCTGGGTTGACAGGGAAATGCAGGTTCAGTTGGTGCAGAAACCAAGAATAAGGGAAAGCCACTTGATATCAGGAAGGCAGGGTTTTTGTTTTGTTTTTTTTTATATCAGTTCCTTTTACCTCACAAAAAGCAACTTGAGGAAGGAAGTGTTTATGCTGGCATTCCTTCATGGTGGTCGGAGCAGCCTGCTCCACTCTGGAAGCAGGGAAGGGAAGGCTATCATTCATCTGTGCCCCTCCCTCCCCCATTCAGGTCAGGGATGATGCCATCCACTGTCAGGATGGGTCTCCCCCGCCCCCACATAAACCTCTCCATAAACACATGCGGGGAAAGTAAGCTTCATTAATGCCCTAGGTGGTCCCTAATCCTATCAAGCTGATGTTTAGAATTTACCACCACGGGGTTCTCACCATGAACACTGATATGGATAGTTTGTAAGAACCGGTTCACAACACTGAGGAACTAAGGCAAATGGTTTCTCTTCTACAGTTTGGAACGTCATTCAGATCTTCACCACTGTCTGGGATGCTGGGTAGTGCAGTGCCTTCGTCAAACCTAAAACACCCAATACTTTCAAACTAATACATTCTGCGTCTCAAATACACTCAAAAACCAGGAAAATCTGATGTTTTTCCTGGACACCAACATTAGATCAATGAGATAACTGAACTCACAACCTTTTTTCTCCTTTTAACCCCCCCCCACCAAATGCATAGACTATAAATATACCTATATGCCTTCTACGTTTTGAACCAGTTTCGCTTTCCAAATTGATTCAGTCTTTACCTCACTCCTTTTACTGTTTCTGCGGCTCCTCCTTTGTGTCCCCCATCACCCCTTCTTTTCAGACTTCGGTTTCCTTTACGCAGCCATTACTTTTCCTTGTGCTGATGTGAAACTTGTCAAGGCAGAAACCTATTTGCTTTTCAAAATTCTTTACAGCCGCAAATATGTCAATAAACAGGAAGGTAACTAGAGATGGATATGTGCGACACTGCACCCCACAGGCTTCACGACGCCCTCAGCTTAGTGGCTAAGGTTTCACGGCTGCCCTACTGTGTCTTCTTAGTCAATGGAATACAAAAGCTAGCTCCAGGAAAAAACAAACAAACAAACAAACTGGAACCGAACTGAGACCCCAAGCTTGACAAGGGGCACACTACAGTCGTATCACTGATGAAGAACTGAACAACAGTAATCACACACAATGATCATGCTGGAGCGATACAAGCACAGGCTTATCCGTCACGCATAAGTGATCAGAATATAATTTCACAACCTGATTTAATACAAGTAACAGCTGCCTGTTGTGTGCTGCCCCTTACGTCCTGCCAGCTTAGGAACTAAGGGCGGGCTTTCCCTCTGTGTTTCTCACATCTCCTCTCTACACATGGGCTGAGACAGGGCTCAAGGAACTCCCTCATCCTCACCACACTGCCAGGGGAAGAGCTGGGCTTCTGATCGCAGGCTGTCCAGGAGCCCCTCATCAGACGCACAGACCGTCAGCTTATCCAGAGATTTTCTTCTCTTCTTTACTTCAGAGATATCTGTACACGAAGCTAAGGTGCATATTGGCTAAGTCACTGGGGCTTGTGAAACGTGAAACGTGAAACCTGAGGCAAACGCTCAGGTTCTCTAAAATTCAATCACCTTATATTATTAAATTACTTTTTCTAGAACATATTACGTCCAACATTAAAGTCTCTAGAAGGTTCCTTACAGAAATGGCTCTATTGTCTTTCAATTATGGGAGAAGTGTTTGCTCTGGAACCTGAGGGTTGCTGCAATCTGCCCAGGACTGGGACCAGGAGTCATGCACAGTCCCTGCCTCCAGGTCTCTAATCTCCATCCTGGAGGCTAAGTTGCCTTCGTACTGGAATGGCTCAGAGAAAAGAAAAAGCGTTTCTCTGAGTATTAAACAAACATACTGAAGTGCTAGCGCTGTTGTCTTCCCGTCCACACCATCTACACCGTGGGAGAGCGGTGCACACACGAGGGGTCAGGTCTTCCAGCTGCATCTCTTCCGGTGGGCATGGGAGTGTCTACTAACTCACATCCCCACTCAGTGGGAGC